TGAGTGATTAAAAAGCATTGATGTGGCAAATATTTTTAATCTTTGCCTTGACACATGTAGAGAGTTACACCTGCATTTCCTGTGTTGTCTTTCATCTGATGTTATTTATAGAGTGATGTTCTTTGCACAGAGCCCTCAGTTCAGTGATTGCCTATGATCATAACACCTGTCCAGCAGACATTTATGAGATCCTCCTGTTGGTCATATTAAATACATGCAAATTATTTATTTTTTTCTAGAGAAAGCTCTTGAAAGTAAAGTAGTCCAGCTGGTGAGTCTCAGTGGTTGAGCATAGACTTATGAACCAGGAGGTCACGCTTCAATTCCCCATCTGGGTACATGCCCCGGTTGTGGGCTCAATCCCCAGTAGGGGGCATGCAGGAGGTGGCCAATCAATGATTCTCATCATTGATGTTTCTATCTCTCTCTCCCTCTCCCTTCCTCTCTGAAATCAATAAAAATATATATTTTTTAAAAAGAAAGTAAAGTAAAAAACAAAATGCTCATATTTCACAACCAAGAAATAATCATAATTTGATATCATTATTTCAAATGTCTTTCTATCCATATGTACAGATAGATTTTTTTTATTGCTTAAAGTATTACAAAGGGTATTACATATGTGTCTTTTTTTTTCCCGCCCTTGAAAATCCCCTGCCCTCCCCTACCCCCCAGTGTCTTATGTCCATTGGTTATGCTTATATGCATGCATACAAGTCCTTTGGTTCAGATAGATTTTTAAGGTAATTTTAGAAAAATAAGTGGATTATATGATATATTCAATTTCTAAAGATTAAATTTTATTTTAATTACATTTAACAAAAGTACAGTTCTCTGAAATAACAATGAATTGTTGAGTTATCTGAAGCCAAATGCTATGGCAAGAGAAATTGATTGGGTCTTTAAATACCACCTTAAAAAGCTTAAAGCTAAAGAAAAATAAAAGTTTTTAATATTTCCTACACGTTTTGTGATATCATACTATGTTAGAACAGTTTTAAAAATATTATTATACTTAAAATCCTTTTTGTCTTGAAATATTAATGTTTATTGCATGTAATATTATTATATTATTATATTTAAGATATTTCTTGAATAATAATTGGTGTTTACTTCATGTAATATTATATTTAAAATCATTTTTCTTGAGATATTAATGTTTATTGCATGTAACATTATTATATTTAAGATTGTTTTTCTTGAAATATTTTAAAAAATAAAATAAAATAAACAAGCAAAAACAGAAAAGTTGGAGAGCTCATTTATTTCTTTGTTTGCTAATATTTAATTACATTTTCACGTTCGATAGTACTATAAAAGGTGAAGACATTAATTGTCAAGTTCACACTTTTTCCTACTTTCTCATTTGGATTTATATGTGCCTGACTTTTTCTTTCTGAATCCCTTATTTGTTTTTTAATCTTTGTAATTGTGTGACTTTCTCTAAATACATCTTAATGTTGCTCATTTTGCACCAGATTTTTGTGTCAGATTTCCCAGGCACCTATTCTAATTTTGATAACTACCTGTCCCCCCCCACCCTTGGTACATGGTGAGGCGTTTCAGTAATTAGTTTTAATTTTTATAATGTTTACTCCTATGATATTTTTAAAATTTTCTCCTCTGTTCCTCTTCTGATCTCTGCATTATGAACACTGGTTATATATCAAACCACTTAATCTCCTTTTACATATGTCATCTTCTTTATAATTTCTGTTTCATTTTGTGTGATATTTGTATGCTTGTTTTTTGACCCTCGCTTTTCCCCTCTATTTTTGAGCACTGTCAAGCTCAATTATTTTTATCATAAAAGAGATATCATGCTTTTATTTTAAAATTATTTAAAACATTTTTTAAAATTATTGAATGATTTGTCTTAACTATTTATCTTTGCATGGATTATTCATCTCTTTCTCAGTCATTTCTGAAGCTTTTGTGTATAGCTCCTAAAATAATTCCTTTGTGTTTATTATTCGTTACTCATTTTTGATGAGACCAGTAATCTGCTAAAAAAATATATATGGAAGAAAAGTATGGAGGAAGGGGATACTTTTAGTTTTGTTCCCCTTTTTTTTTTTTAACCAAAAGAGAAATTTGGCTCATCTATCTCTTTGCTGTCTCTTTGGTTCCCCCTAATATGCAGTGTTGTCCACAAATAGCTTTTGAAATGAACATTTTTTTGGAACTGGTAAAGCCAAAGAAAGTGAGATTTTATATACGTTTTTCTTAATTCTTAATTTCAAACACACATATACACAATTGTATTATGGATCATGGGAAGACTGAATGGAAGAAATAGTTGTAATTGGCGGAGATTTCTATATATTTGCTAACTGTTGCACTGCACTATTTATAAATGAATATTTATCCAAATTGCTGC